GGACTGTGCATCAAAAACAAATACCATTTCATGGATTCCATGCAGAAAGACAGGCTACAATGCCCACAGCTGCAGCTACAACTAAATTAACGCTGATCCTCAATCGCACCGGAGTGGATGCAAACACCCAAGCTCCAACAAACTGGTTAATTTTCAGATTTACTTGGTGTTTAGTTACTTCACGTATCTAACACCTGTGCTCTCCTTCACCTCAGTCCTACCTCAAAGCGTTTACGCGTTTCTTCATCCGCGCAAGACCCCGCCATGTGGTGGTTCTGTTCGGTTCCCATCGTCTGCTAATACCTTCTGCGCATTTATCTCTTTGGAGTTTGTCGGGCTCCTCCCGGCTTCTAGGGTTGTGGACTCTTCAGAAATTTGTGATCTTAATGGTTTGTCCCTAACTTGCATCTATGCCGATTGTTTAGTACATCATTTCTCATATTTTTGTAGCGTTCGTTCCATTTGCGGCGATCGCACTCCCACCGCCTCATCCTTTGGTTACCTCCTCGGAGTGAAGGGACTCCGCAATCGCCGGAAATTGGGTACGTACGCAGGGCATTATAGCAATACTATCACTACAGGGGAACAAAGTCAGTTCAGGAAAAGCGGCAGTTCTCCTTAAGGCCTTTACCCCCTCACCCCTCTCAGGCGCAGCTATCCCGCTATGCTAATACAGCAATACCTTCTGACTTAGCTCTTGTAATGTTTACTCAGAAACGACAAAACAGTTTCTCCCAAGTCCCGCGCGACCCAGAGAAACCCAGTACCTTCGCTGATTCAGGGAATAATACTTCTCAATGGCCCCTCCCTGCTAGCAAAGGAGCTCACATGTTCCTTATGGTATATCACGACCTGGCCTAACGTGTCCGAGGAGGGGGCAAATGCAGAAGAGTGATGGCAGGGGAGGAAGAAAAGGGCACCGGGAGTTGAAAGGAAATTAGCTATTACATTAACCATATGCCAGTCCTTAGGTCTGTATCTCCACTGTCCCTGACGGGAGGGAGGGGGCGCCCGTAGGCAGATGGCGCCATGAAGCTATCTAGTCTGAATGGGTTGTGGCCACTCTAACTAATCCTCCGAACGGCTCAATGGGGGAGCAGCATGCCCACCAGTTTTCACACTCGGCAAGGTCTTAATGTTACTCACTTCTTGGAAGACGGTTGGCGGCGTTCCGTACACATATATTTTTGAATTTTCTCTAGATTCAGTCCATCAATGCCACGGCGGGTCGGAGTCGGACATTTCCACACCCCTGGAATTTATTGATGGAAGGGGGATTTCAAAAAATGCAAGTAATATTTCCTCCTGCACTTTTCAAAAGCACGATTTTAATGTAGGAATAGCCGGCTGAAAATTTGAAAATTTGCTCCAAGTTAATCGCTTAGGGGGAACCACCCAATTCCAGCATTCTAAACTCACTTTCTCCCATATTACGGGAGTTACTTAGCAGCCCGGATAAACCGGGCGATTACCGGTAGATTTCCCCGTCGCAGGGTGGTAAGCTTTTAAAAATTTAGGCTATGAAATTTTGTATGATATTACCCTAAGAACTCACATAAGCGGACCATATTCTGTGGAATCCAAAATTTGCTCCTCTGTAAAAGGGACAAAGAAAAGACCAAAAAATTTGCTCCCGAGACAAATAAAAAAAAGAGAAAAAACACCGGACCGTACTAGGAGAGGCAACTCCAACATCTTAGCAGTTCTCGTGGTGTACTGTACTGTACTATCCTACTATCCGGCTCCCTTGTGTTGGCGACCCCACCTTCTTTTGGTAGATAATTTTGATTACCGTAGTCCGGTCCTCCAAGCTGTGTCATCCTCCGTTTCCCTTGGGAAATACAATAGGAGTGTCCTTTGCAGGTCACAGGTGCGGGAAGCTGTAGGCAGCAATGATAGTGAGAAGGGAGAAAAGTGTGTGGGAAGAAGAAGAAACAGTCATTTTGTTGGATATCACAGTTGATGCTTTTCCTGCCTCTCCTCCACGCTCCGACAACGGGGGAACCCAATGCTCTTTGATTAGGCTCTGTCCGGATACAACGGTTCTGTTCCGTTGCCCCATACAAAGTGACCGTTTCCTTCCGTTCGAAAATCCCAGAAACGGGCCACAAGAGGGAACGGGACCGTTGTATCCAAACAGAGCCTTGAAGCGATGTGTAAAGTATTCGGATGCCTTGGAGCCAAGTACTCGTACAGTACAGTGCTCGCTGGTTCATTTGCCATGCGGACACTTTGGTGCCAAGGCTGTAAAAACTCAAAGAAATCTTGGCGCCAAGGTGTCCGAATACTTTATGAATGGTCAAATAGTCTGTTGGGGAATGATAATTCGTCAACCAGTTCCTCAGGCGGAACAGCCCATAACAGCTTGTCCGTGGGCCATTGCGTCCCCTGTAATGTTCAATTGTGATGGCATTTGGTGAGTCCAACGGAGAAGCACTACTCGAGTAAACCAATATCATGCTTGATCTAGTGTGTGGCCGTAGTGGCAGGGTCAGGGTTACCCCGCAATCCAACCACTACGGTATCATAAATTTTCCCGGGATGATTAAATCTGATCCAAGGACCAGCCACAAGCTAGTCGCAAACGCCACTCCGGCTTGGCGCCTCTGATGGGATCGGCTGGGTGAAACTTCCCTAGGTGTCAAAAGACGCGAGGGCTTGGCTTGACACAGCTTAAACAAGTTAGGTGGCCCGCTGGCCTGAAAAAATGCATGCCTAATGCCCCGGAACCAAGGCCCTTGTAAATCGGCATACCGGGGTATGGAGATACTTGTACTGTACCAGGTTCTGGGTCCATGAAGGGTGAGAACAACCAATGCGATCAATGGTACTGTACTCCAAGTCTGCAAAGTTTGGTAGACGAGTGGTTAACCAAGGAAATTATTGGTGGCTACTGCTGATTTTCCCTGCCTAAAAAAAATTGGAGAAAAGTGTTCTGCTCCACTTGTGTACGTAGTCAATATCTTACGGAGGAGACACTGGTGCACATTCGATGGGTCTGGTTAGCCCTAAGATTTGTGACAATGTTTTCGGTTGACTCAGGCTGGCCTTGGTCGATGGTCTTCGGGCTTTTCAGGATAGGTTGCTTGGTAAATATCATAGTCAGGCAAAGCGCAGCCCAGTCCGGCCTAAATTAAATATTCGGTAGGGCTTACTGGACACTGGAGGGACTGGTCCTATCATACGGAGGTACAGCCCCTAGGTATTGTATATTTTACTAAGGATTGGTGTTCCGCTAGCAGGGGTCAGGGAATGAATAGGGTAGTCATCATACCCAATTCCATGCTTCTGCCAACGCTAGCCAAACCCTCCTTGCTAGTAAAATATACAATATTTAGGGGTTATACCTCCGTACATTTGGCGTTGCGGCACGAGTAGTTGCTACATTAACCAGCATCATCCAACGACACAGCTTCTGGTTGGATATCATAAGGAAACAGAGGGGGCCTACTCGTATGAGTGGGTTTGAAGATCGGTTGAAGGGCCATCTATCATCATACGGTACCAACTATTCACGCAACTATGATACCTCAAAAGTATGTACAGTACAGTACAACCGCATCTGCAAAGCTCTCGCAACACCCTAGCCGCCAACACTGGGCTTGGATAGCTAGACGGGGACGACTCTTTCGAGAAAATATTTTTAATTAGATTCTAGTAACGGGAGATTCCGTGGAAGATATTCATATATATTTTTTTTCCGTGGTAAATAGCTCCCGCGATCCCCCGGTTACGAACCGCTAAGAATTTGCGACACGTTAGTAAATATAAATTTATCCCGACTAATACCAATCTGGCTTCTAGTTAGCAAAACACAGCCAGAAGTTACAAGAACTTTGCGGACACGAGCGTACGAGTACGAGCAGCCAACTGCCACCCATATGGACAGAAACACTTGAACGTTTGTAGAGGGATGCTGTCAAGGCCGGCGCTAGAGTTGGGGAGGGGATTCTGAACCATAACGTTTTGATTACGGGTTTACTATTGAAGTGAGGGTTTTCCAAAAATTAGTTTAGCGCCTCCAACTTCACATGATAGCACTCGTCAATAACGACGACAAGCTAGGTGAATATTGGTAACGCGATCCCGGAAGAAAACTGCTTTCCTAAAAGTTAATTTTGGTTTCCCAAAGCACTCCTAAATGGGTTCCTCGTATCCTCCCTTTTCTAGTCTGATATAAGCAAGTTCTCAGCTTCGGGGCCACAGCCTGCGCGGATAGCGCCGAGGCAGGATCTCCATAAGTACAGTACCGTACTTGAGAAAAGGATAGATGAGTAGGGATGAAAACATTTGCTGTGTCTAGGATCACTTTGGAACAAGTCGTAGCAGTGCGGTAGTGATGGTATTGACGGCAAGAGCTACTGGGGGGCTCGGAGCACATTGTAGCGGCGCCTGACCAACATGGGATACATGGTAGGCTAGGGGTTGTGGGAAAGGGTGAGTCGCACTTGGTGAGATATTTTACTCAGTGCTTATACACGGGGAATCGGTTTACCGGATTCTTTTGGAAATAGATGGTGAATGATGTACAGCGGGGAAGATTTTTGTTCTGATTGAAGAAGCACTCAAACTGACGATCAGGAGTGCTCCGAGCCTTTCCTACCAAATCCAATGGTGAGTGGTGACCTTATCAAGAGGATTCATCACGTAGTAGGGCTGTCAGCACGCGTTAAATGGAATTTTAAACTCACATTTCTAATCGCGATTGGAGGCTCGATGATATTCTCCCAACCTCATTGGTAGCCTTCTGCAGACAGCAAGGTTGAGAAGCTCATCTCTGATTCTCTGGGCGTCGACTGTGGGGGCTCCTCAGCCTTCTGTGACGTTCGTCGCAGCCTTCTAACCCGATTCAGGAAAGTCCATCCAATTATTTCCCCTTATGGATTCTGCGCTATCGGCTTGGCGTGGGGTTGGGGTCTGCTGGTGCCACCCTGTGTCCCCGTCGCTCCCTCTCCCTTCTAAAGCTCAGTTCCTGGCAAACCAACTTCTTTTTTCCCTCTCTTCATGTTCAACAGGAGACACCGATTTAAACCGTCGCAAACCACCTACCACCCCGTGAGTGAGTGAGCGCCCGTGAGAAGCCGAATAATCTTAATCATAAGATGTCTTACGATCCTCGAACCACCGATGAGGCACCACCAAATGCCACATTTTCAACCGTTCCTCCATCTGCAACCTGTGCGACGGGGATTCCTGGTGGGTTTTTCTCCCCGGTTCTTTAGTTTCTACTTCTTCCTTCTCCCCGAGATTAGCGAAACTTAAAGATTTCCTTTTGGGGCAGCAGCGAATCCAACACCCCCGCCTCCAACAATTCACAAAAGAACCTACCAGGCCTGCATTCCATGTCGGCAGAGAAAAGTTCGCTGCGACCTCGGCTCCGTTGAAGCCCCGCACGACCCACCCTGCGTCCGCTGCCGTCGCGAATCCAAGGAATGCTACTTCTCCGCTACGAGGCGCAAGACGAGAACCCCGAGCACGGACGAGGTAGGAATCGGTCGCGGCCGCGGCACCATCCGTGGGGTGGTCAGGAAGCACGAGGATGACGAGGAAGTGCTCTCACCGATCAAGCGATCCCGCTCAATTGGCCACGGAGACTTCGCTAATTCCCCATCTTATTCACCCAGCTTTGCGGGGAAGCCTTTCGTTACGCCCATCGATCCACGGCTTGCGGAGCGAGATGGGGATGTCGACAGCAGGGACGGGGACACGGCAACGGCCGCTGAGGCGCTGCTCCAGACGCCCGTTTGCAATTCGCACCAGGCGCTGTTAGCGCTTGTCGAGGTAGCGGGGAGGGATGCGCCGATGTCCACGGGTGGGAAATCACCCGGCGATACGGATGGGGAAGGTGAGAAGGATGTCGATGATAGTCTGTCACCAGCTACACGGAATGGGGTTGGGGTTCGGTTCTCCTCGGCGGGCGATGGTACTTTCTCCCCGTATGCTCGCAGGCGGGCAGGAAGCAATTCTACCACTTCTCCCGGAACACAGGCTGGTCGGCCGGGGACTGCTAGGAGTCTGAGCATCAGCACCATTCACGAGGACAAAGATGGACTGGAAAAGGCTGTTCGGGTGTGGAACAAGTTTCGATTTGTTAAGGCGGGGTGGTTCACTGCTAGGGAAGCAATTCAATATGTTGAATAGTAACCCTCCACTTTCTTCCCTCGAATTGAGACACGTACGTTTTTGCTGACTGGAGTGATCAGCTTTTACAAACATCTACACCCGTTGTCACCAACCCTAACATCGCCCTCCCTGCAACATATTTCACACCCCAGTCACCACCCCTCACTCCTTCGCTTAGAGCCCTTCCTGACAACCATCATCCTTCTGATAACATCACGGTACATGGTCCTCTCGGGCCCGGGGGGTCAATCAAGATCGTATGCAATCCACGACATGCTATGGCGGGAAGTCCGCGGCGGATGCGAAGGGCTCATGTGGGGCGGCGGGTGGGGCGGTCTTGGAACCGCAAGTAGCAACAACCACTCGTACACACACAGCGCAAAAGTAGCGCGCGGGCTGCGTACATTGGGGACGGTGGAAGGCTTATTGATACTCACAGAATGGCACGTCCGCGGGCTGCACTTCCCGATGGATGTGGAGGAGGGCGACTGGATGGTGGATTCGTCCGATAGCGAGGAGTGCGAGACCACGCACACCCGGCGGAAAGCGCGCAAGGGCGGAGGCGTGGTGGAAGGCTTGAGCGACCGCATCGAAAATATACTCGAGCCGGCGTACCGCAGTGATCGGATGAGTTGGATGTTGCTGGGCAACGCCCTCGCGCTGGCGTACGAACTCGGTGTCTTTGACGAGATAGACGAGCCGGCGTCCACCACTCCCGCACACCTCCCCTCCAGAGAACCGCCCCCGCCAGACACGGGCTACCGTCTTCGCTTCCAGAGAATCCAGAAGCTCCTCCTCCTCTACGTCCTCCAACTTGCCTCGCGCCTCGGTTGGACGAGCATGATCCCGCGACACATCACTCAATCCGTCCAGCACAAGCTCAATTCCGCCGGCGCCTCCCCGGCTAGCGTGACCATAACCGGCCGCTGGGATAGCGAAGATGAGCTCCAGGACGTGATCTTTCACAGCTGGGTTGACCTAACAATGGTGATGAAGCACTCGGCGGAAACGCTTTTCCCCTCGCGCCGGCATACCAAAGAGATCATGCGGACGGGCCGCTACGTGGAGCTCCTGGAGTACTTCCAGCCCAAGCTGAAGGACTGGAAGCGCGACTTCGACGCCCTCAACCTCCCGAACCCGATTCACCACATCCTTAGCATGGAATACGAGCACGTAAGGTTTTACATCAACTCCCTCGCCCTCCAAGCCGTCGTGGACCGGTGCACCGTGAACAACAGCACGAAAACGGCAATGATGCAGGTGAACGCGAAGGATGTATCCTTCATAAAAGAAGTCGTTGACGCCTCCCGCGCTCTCCTATCCTGCGTCGTGAAGAAGATGTGTCCGGGGGGGTACCTCAAGCATGCGCCTGTTCGAATCTACCTGCGCATTCTGGGCGCTAGCATGTTCTTACTGAAGACTCTCGCGCTCGGCGCGAAAGAGAGCGACGTCACGACCAGCATAGACCTCATCCATGACACGATACGTGCACTCCGTTCCGCAAGCGTCGACGATGTACACCTTGCGCTACGCTTTGCGGATTTACTAGAGATATTGACGAATCGGGTTAATGCTCGATTCATCAGGATCAATCCTACCAGCAGTGCAACTACCAATGCTACTGCCGATACATCCGCAAATACCCCACCACCGCAGGCCACGTCGCCAAAGACGAAGGTTAGGATGCTCCCACCTCCGACTCCCGGCACACTGCAGGCCGACATGGCCAGGGGGGATTATGGGTACGACGGAGCGGATATCCACGATGCCGAGTTTCTCTTCAGCGGGTATGAGTGGTTGGCGTTGCCGATCGATCCCGTTACTGGCGCCGGGTTCGATGCTGGTGTTACGCAGAGTCAGATGGGCGTTGATGTTGGCGGGGTGGATTTGTTGGAGTTGTTGTTGGCGGGGAGTGGTGGTGGGTAGGGGAAAGGCGGGGGTTTGGAGTTTTCTTTTAGATTGGCCGTTTGATTTTGTTGTATGATATTAGCGTTTTTGGTACGAGGTTTTTATATGTTTGCGCTTCTTTTCTTTTCTTCTCTGCTCTCTTTTTATTTTTCTCTTACCATCCCGTCTAGGGGTATCTGTTTATCTGTCTGTCTGGCCGGTTGTTTGACTCCATCTTTTGCTTCCTTTCTTCATTTCTTCCGTGCTTGCTAGTGCGTTGGCTTTTCTCGTTCTGCTT